AAAGTTCTTTCTCAGTATATGTGCACTGGTGGATTTAAGTTGCATGTTGGACTAGGATTAAAACTCTTAACATCAGATTTTCAGTGAGCACAGAGACTTTCCACTTTAACAGATGAATGTGCACATCATTCTGCATCAAACATCACTGCAGGAACAAGAAGAAACATTGCTTTTGTCTTGTATCAAACCTGCTTACTGATCATTTCCCCTCACCATTTCAGGGTTACCAGATTCCTAAAGGCTGGAACGTTATCTACAGCATCTGTGACACCCATGATGTGGCAGAGATCTTCCCCAACAAGGAAGACTTCCAGCCAGAGCGCTTCATGACTAAACCCTCCACCGACTCCTCCAGGTTCCAGTACATCCCGTTCGGAGGGGGCTCCAGGATGTGTGTGGGGAAGGAGTTTGCCAAGGTCCTGTTAAAGATCTTCCTGGTGGAAGTGGTCACAAAGTGTCACTGGACTCTTTTAAATGGGCCACCCACCATGAAAACTGGACCTACTGTCTATCCTGTGGACAATCTGCCAACCAAGTTCACCAGCTATGTGCAAAATTAAAGTGAGATGATGAAGGGTTGTTTCCTAAAAGCAGTGTAAGTGAAGTGTCAGGTTTCCCAAAAGTCTCAAATCATCTGTGTTTTTATCCCGCTTATCCACAGGGGAACTACAGTATAATCAAGGTGCTTGGGGAGTTTTTGTTAGTGCTCATGCTCTTAGGAAACCGCTCAATGTCTGCATTTACATATAACCCAAGCTAGCAATTCTGATAATTTGGATTTATATCAATGTGGATTTTATGGAATATCAAATTGTAAATATTGTAGATGACTTAAGAAGGAATTTTACATTTTATATTATGATGTTAATACATTGGATTTATGTATATATTTTTTTACAGATATGAACAAATTAACCAGAGGCACTATACACATACATGGAACACTTTAATCAGCTCTGAGGTGTATCAATAGGATTATGTATATATGTAATGTAGAGTCTGTTTATATAACTTTTGTATCTTACCCCAACTTATTTAAGTGACTTATGTTATATTGTATGGGCTTTTTATTATTTAATCAAAATGTTTTGTGGAAAATCTTGTGTTGTGGTGTTTTTTTCTTTGTATTTCATTTAAATGAAAGAGTTAAACTTTAATGCAAGGCTGTCCAAAGTGGGCCCTAAGGTTCACTTAGGTCAACCAGATGTTTTTAGCAAAAATAATAAAGATTAACTTTACAAAGTTATAATGTAAATTGCTGTTTATGGTGGTTTATTTTTTGTGAGGTAACAATGCCCTATGAATTATTTTTCAGAATCTGATTGCAGGAAGTCAGTCAATAAAGGGAACTTAGGATCCTAGAAACATTTTGCATCTTAACAATACAAAGTTCAAAAATGCACCTAAAGTGTGGTTGGCTGTCGCCAGCTCCCGACTAATCCAAATATGTAAATACATGGTGCTGAGATGGGCTGAATGAAGCCTGGTTACTAAAAACAACACCCACCTGTCACTCAAGGTGGCTATCCCCTTAATTTGGCATAATTTTGCCTCAATATGATGTAATAAAATAAACCTCAATATAATGTAATTTGTGATTGAATTGAAATTAAATTTTATTTGTATAGCGCCAAATCATAACAGAAGTTATCTGAGGACACTTTTCCAAATAATGCAGGTCTAGACCGTACTCCTTTATTAATTATTAAGCCAGTCTGTCAATGAGCAAAAATTTGGTTTTAGTCTGTACAGGCACAGTACTCATGTTAATCTGAAATCACAACTTAATTTTAACACCTTAATTAATAAACAGAGACTATAATGAAAACAGAAGGCTTAAAAGTCAAAGTCATTAATGATCTGTGTGACTAACAGCAGCCCTCTATGGTTTATTTGAAAACACCAGGTAAAGTTTGTTGATGACACTTAATGTATTTGCTCTGTACACAGATAGTGGGTGGTCCACACAAACAAACACACACATTTTACACACATTCCATTATCCTTACAAAATCAATAAGTTGTGAGGAGAAGGGAAAATATGAGACAAATCTGTAATCCATAGAAGGAGGAGGAAGCAGAGGACTGATGACCCTTGCAAATGAGCAGACAGAGGGTGAAACAGAGTTCATACTGATCAGTTCAGTTTCAGGGCACTGAACCAGTGTAGACCTCTAGTTGAACAGTGGAAGTAGGCCAGTAGCATGGATACATGTTTACTGAAGGCTCAATGTTTTTTTACATTTAGGATAACAGTCAATGGATTACTGTTGAAGGTGTTAAAATAAGCTGCTTTGTTGGAATATTGAGTGTATAGCTTGTAAAAAGTTAGTAGAAGTACAGTACAGTAAATGGACGTCAGGGAAACTGTGCGGCATGACTCCGCTACTCTTCTATTCGTCCAATAAACTACCAGTCATATCCTGCCATGAACTCAGGGAAGTGACTGCCTCCAACTGTTTTTTTCTTTGTTTCTTTGTTTGCAGAACTAAGAGGAACAACAAAAGACATGATCTAAATGGCAGTCCACTTACATGTTTGGTGGTTTTCACAACTGATGTAAACCATACCCTAGTACACATGGACTGTACTCAAGACCACTTTCAAAAGTGTTCAGTGTTCACACTAATCCAATGCACTGGACTGCTCAAATGTACTCACATAGTGACCACCTGCCTGTAATGAACCTGAGACACTTCATAATGAACCCTGCAACATTAAACAAGGATGAATAAAACTGGGGTTAAATGTGTCAACTGGGTATATACATACCTACATATATTACATTATAAGTACTGTTTTTTAGCAAGTGCTGTCCTGTATTGTCAAGAAAAACTCCTGCAATACTCCCTGGAAAGGTCCTGGAAAAATTATTTCTTAATAAAAGCCTCCTAAGCCTCCTCAGTATGTTTCAACACTAACACACAGCCAAAAACAAAGAAAAAAGTCAGGACTGACCAACCAATACTGTTAAAATCAGTAAGCAACCATGGTTCTAAGATGAGATCAGTGGTCATCTGCTGCGATAAGCCATCTATATAGACAGGAACCAGGTCACTACAGGGCATGTAAATGGTCTCTGATTACCTGGTTATGTAAGTGGATGTAAATACACGGACTGACAGTAAAAGTTGTCTAAAGTGTTGTCAGTCTAATCATGAAATTCCGTCAGGCTCCTGAAGTTCGCGGATGACACCACCCTCATTGGGCTCATCTCTGGTGGTGGGGTGGAGGCCGCCTACAGATGAGACGCCAGATGGGACCCATCTGTGGTCTGGTAAGCCGAACAACCTGGAGCTAAACGCTCTGAAAACAGTGAGATGGTTGGTGTAGTGTTAAGAAAATAACCCAGCCCCACGCCGCCCCATCATCCTGTGTGACGTCCCCAGTTGGACTCGTGTGCGGAGTTCCGCTGCCACTTCCTGGGTACCATACATTACCCAGGACCTTCAAGTGGGAGCTGAGCATCAGCAAACACTTCCTCTCTGGTTAGGAGGCCATCAGGACCCAAAAACCTCACGCCACAGACACAGTTTCTTTCCTCGCAGCTGGTCTTCATTGACACTATTACTAAACCACCCTGTATATATGCATTACAGTAAATGCAATCCTGTTGGTTTTTCTATCTGCACATTGGTCAGAATATCTTTCCTGTACAGTTTTAGATCTTTCTATCTTTATCTTTATTTATTCATATTTTAAAAAGTACTTGATTTTTGCATGCACCAAGGCAAATTCCTTGTATGTGTAAAAAAAAATTTGGGGCAATTTGGCAATAAACCCAATTCTGATTCTGAAACCTTTTGCATGCAAAACTCTATAAAAGTCTTCCCTTAGCTTGGAAAATGAGAGCCAGTGTTTCTGAAGGCTGTTGGTAGCTTTTCTGGCAGATGTGCTTTAGCCTCTTTCACAAGTTGTTTCTCTTTCTGGTGCCCTTCTGATTTACACCCAGCCTCCCTCCACTCAACATCGACTTCTTAGCATTGTGCTGTTGTCCCTGGCCCTTGTTTATGTCTGTGCTACTTGCGATTATTGGATCCACAAATGCTGAACTGTTGTACTTATTGTAAGTCACTGTTGATAAGAGTTTCAGCTTAATGGCCAAATTGTAATAGTAAATTGTAGCTGACACGTTTATGTCCGGCCATCCTATCCCTGCTGGTCCAGCCCTCGAACGATGTGAATGAACTTTTCTGAACTTTGCCTCCTTTCCTCATTCTAAAGAGCGTCTGCTTCCCTCCATTGTTCACCATCACCCAGTGGAGACAAAACTTTGCACGGCCAAGGCCATTTTCGTCTAACTTTCTGACCATTGTAGTGAATTTACAACACAGTGTTGAAAGAGGTTTGAAACTAGCTTGCTTTCAATTAAATCCTCGGGCCTGAACATGGTCCAAAGTAAATCATTGTAAGTAGTGTTATTGAAGGCAGTACTTTTATAAACCCTACCACTTTGTTGCCATGAGAGAGGTGAAGGGTGGTGACAGAGGAAGCGGAGAAAACTACAGAAATAAAAGGGTAGAGAAAAAGAGAACAGAATCTACTCTGCTTTCCAAGCTGTGTAGCATTTTTTTTCCGTAAAATAAGATTTATTTTAACTCTCTGCATTCACTACAGTGGTTCTATCTAATACAAAGATGTCAGAGAACTGCTAGCACATTTTACACTAAAAACAGCTAGATGCCACTAAATCCTGCACACTGGACCTTTAAATGCAATATTTTCACAACACCTAACTTATGTTTTGTAAATCATGTGCTTAAATCCACCACAAAGGAAAAGTTTTCAAATCAAATACTAATGGAAATATTATTTTACTTAAATGCTTTAATACTCTTTGACACATTCTTGCTATTTTTTACAGCACACCTCTATATGATGTTAGCTAACAATTAATGTAGATTAGCTACCTAGTTAACTAGTGTTTCGCTAACTTAAGATGTGACTATATAAATGTATTTTTTATCTTTGAACCATCTTCAAACTGTTGTTGTCTTTTCTACATAGATTAGCCTAGCATATAGCGTATGTAAGAGCAGGAAAGGAGGATGTTGACTGAGGTTCTGACCAAGAATTGCTCAACTGTGATTGGAGCACAGATCTAAAATGGGCGGGGCTTATGAAGGGTCCATTATGAGACAACGATGATATTACTGTATGTGTTGTAGCGGTGACATAGCGTGTTGGGTTGAGTTTAAATACCAGTCAGAACCACTTTCCCGGAGACGAAGATGAGCAGGACGATGCGCGGTTTCACCATCCGGTAGATGAGACCTGGAAACAGCTCCGGCTCATAACTGTGGACACAAAACTGTAAGTTTATCCAAGCACTGGTCGGATCAGACGGTGTGTTTATCTTTAGACAGAGCTAGGCTAGATGTTTCCCTCTGCTTCCAGTCTTGCTAAGCTAGGCTGTTAGCGTGGTTGGTACCTGCTGAACTGCTGGTGTGTGAGGACCAGTCCCTCCAGTCTGATGGGGAAGCACACGTCACAGCTGGCCACCATGTTCTGGATCTTAAAGTCCAGGAAGCGGGCAGGAAAACCCAGTTTCTGAACCACGCGAGCGTATTTCCTCGCCGCCAACCGCGACTGCTCCTCACTGCACGTGCTCAGACAGAGAGAAAGACAGCTGTTATACCTACAGACAGACAGACAGAACAGTAACACACCAGCAGAGCCCCCAGACCCAGACGACCCCTCATTGGCTCCAGTGCAGACCATCTTCCCAGAGCTGAAGATCAGTGCAGTGGTTCTGGGCTCTCTGATCCTCATGATGACGGCTGCGAAACGCTGAAACAACATCACTTCACTTTCAGGCTCCTTTCTACTAAATCTTCTACTTTTCACTG